AGCCTTGTGAAACTTCCAGGAGCTCCTAACAGCAGCCCAAGAATGGAGGAAATGAGGGGGGAGCAAGATGTGTGAACAGATGACCACCTATGAGGTCCAGGCAGAGAGGGAAACTTTAGAAAAGTAGAGAGGGACAGAGTCAGGACTTGGTGAGACATGGAGCAGAATCTGGAGTCCTTGAGACAGGCAGAAACAACAGTGGCTTGGGTCTGGTTGAGAACACAGGAATTATCCCATCCTGCATTGAGAGTTGCCTCAAAGGATGGAGTCACCTTTGGCACTTGTGACCTCCCTGCCAAAGAATGAGATTCTGCAGCTTTGGAGAAACCTGAAATGCCCTGGTCAGCACCCAAAGAGGGAACAGAGGCAAGAAGAAAGTCACATCCTGTCCTGAGGAAAACATGCAGCATGCAAGGGTAATGCTGTGTCCCACACAGCTGCCGACAGTGTAAGCGTAGAGAGGGGTGCTTCATAACACGGATTACCATTGAACCTCCAAGTCAGGGCTGCCTAGTGGATGTTGTATAATGATGGACATGTTTTATGTCTGTCTAGTTCCCACACAGAAGCCAGCAGCCACAAATGTCCAAATGATTGTCATATGGACAGCAAATGCCAGGTTCTCTCTTTACAAGAATGGGCTTAGCTACAAGTTTCTGGTAGTGAAGATTTTAACACTTGGCAAATTAAATACCACAGAAATAAAATGTTTACAAGGTATTTAGTGAGGCTATTCTGGGAACAATATCAAAGTCCTGGACACTCTAGGAATCTGTGGGCAGTTTCTGAAAAAGGCCATAGTGCCTTGTATGAGACATCTGCCCTGGAAATACAGAAAAAGGAGAGCCTATTTAAAATTTTTAATATTTATCTTAAAATCCGTGAGAAAAAAACTAGCCTTATATGTATGGTAGTACCAAAAGCTTCATTTTTACTTTTAAAAAATATTTAATGTGTATGTCTATGTTCCTGAGTGACAGGAGCCCTCAGAAGTAAAAAAAAAAAAAAAAAAAGATATCAGATAATCTGTTAAGGGTGTTATACTACTGTGTGGGTGCTGGGAATTGACATGGGCCCTCTGCAAGGATAACAGGCACTCACCCACTGAGCCAGCTCTTGGTGCCCCACGTCCTATAGAGCTGCATTTGTTCTGAAAAGTGCAAGGAATGCGTCCTTTCTGGGCTGTGGCTGATAGTATTTCCTATTTATCCTCAGAAGGTAAATTTTTTCCACCTGCAGAAAAATTCTGTGTATTTTAATACTTAAGAGTTAAACTCTGTTTTCTAGAACCCAGGTATGCAAGGGTCAAATTCCTCAGAACTCAATTAAAAATATCCTCAAAGCTTTGCGAAGCTAAGGAGTTTGGACTTTATCTTGTAGGGAACTGAAAGCTCTAGATGGTAGTTAGGTAACAATGGAAATCACCAGGATGAGCAAATGATTGAAAGCTAAATGACCTTCATAGTTGATAGGCAAGAATATAGAATCCTGGAATGCTCTTAGTGGCCCACCCATGTCCTCCTCTTCCAGAATTCGGATAATATGGACTGCAGGCCTTTGTGCCCTGACTGTTACAGACACAGTGAAGGTACAACCTGAAGAGACTTCTTCCATAAGCCAGAGCAGGCTCCTCTGAGCACCAGAGCTTGTCTGAAAACTTCTGAGGCTCCAAACACCCCAACAGAGAAACACTCAAAGAGTTGAGCTCAGTTACTCCCCAACCCTCTGTGGAGTGCTGAGAACGCCACATGAACATGGGAGTGTGCAGGGATTTTGAGAACTTGTTTTAGTAAATGCATCTATTACTGAGAACTAAGTGATTATATCAATTATCCAAAGAAGAATTTAAAGAATTTAAAAATAATTTCCAATTACTTAGTAGTCTTTGCTATCAACAAAGCTCTTTCGGTTACCTATGTCATCATGCATGCTTGGTGAGAGCTCCAACCCAGTGATATGCTGGAAACTCAAAATGGCATAAAACTGAGACACTTATGACACAGAAATTAACAAATGAGAGATTTCCTGCAAAAGAAGTGCATAAACATCTGTTCGTCTGCCACCAGTGACCACACACTGTGCTACCCTCCGTGTGGAAGTCTCCAGCACCGCACTTGAAGCAGCCCATTGATCGGTAGGTCTTGTCACGTTGGAGTTCTCAAATGGATTTTTAGGGTGACTTGGTGATCTGACTACTTTATTTGCATTTGCTTGGCCTGGATGATTCTTTTTGCTGCATACACACACACACACACACACACACACACACACACACACACACACACACCACAGAGAGATTCTCACACACTGAGCCTTCTATATTGGCACAGCTTCCCAAGGCAAGTAAGACCAGATGTTGGGGTAGGGAATAAAAATACATTTCCTGCATTGCACCAACAAATTCCATGTTAACTCATATTTCTAGAGGCTGATAACTGTTCTGGGTATCATTCTGAGGTTTCTAATTCCCAGATGTCACTGTGAAGCCAAGTGCTCTGTAAAAAAAAAAAAAAAAAAAACACTAATTTATGATACCAAAAACATGTATATTGTATATAGCTAGAGGCAGCAACAGCTTCTTGTCAACTATTCTCCACTGTGCCTATAGGCAGACCCTCTGCCGGGACTGCTAGGGTTGGGAAAATGGCTCTTTTGGCAAAGGGTCTGCTTATAGGCATGAGGATCTGAGTTTCGGTCTCCAGGACCCACATAGAAGCCAGGAACAGTGGCACATGAGTACTTCTCCAGATACTGGGGACGCAGAGAAAGGAGGGTACCTGGAGGCATTGACCAGTGAGCTTAGCAGAATCATGAAATCCAGGATTGGTGGGTCTCAGGAGGCTGGAACTATCTGTTCACTGCTGAGACTTGCTTTGCTAAGGAGCTGAATGCTCAGGGATTACTTCATGACCTTGGAATTGATTAAAGAAGAGGCTGCGATTTTGATGTTATTGTTGTTTTTTTATTTGGTTTGTTTGTTTTGTCTCTATGTAGCCCTGGCTGTCCTGGACTCACTATGTAAACCAGGCTGGCCTTGAACTCACAGAGATCGTCCTGCCTCTCAAGTGCTGGGATTAAAGCATTCACCATCACTCCTGGCAGAAAAAGGTTGTTTAAAATAAGGCACAAGGGGGAAAAAGACCATGAAGATAACTTTTTAAAAAAGATTAATGGATTTGTTTGGATTTTTCATATGTATTTTTATTATATGCATTTATATATGCAGATGTACGTAGGTGCCCTCCACAACCAAAAGAGGGCATCAGATCCCTAGAGCTAAGTTACAGGTGGTAGTGAGCTAATCCCACAGGTGCTGGAAGCTGATGTCAATATTCCAGCCTACTTACTTGTTTTTGAGATAGGGTCTCCTATAGCAGGCGGCCTTGAACTTGCTATGTAGGTGAGGATGACCTTGAACTTCTTGTCCTTCTGCCTCTACCTCCCAAGTGCTGTGATTGCAGGTACACATACACACCCATTTATGGAAAGCTAGGATAGAGCACAAGGTCTCAGGTTTGTTAGGCAAGCACATCTCCAGCGCAGACTCTTGGGATGGGCCAGAAAGGCAACAGGGTAAGGAATTAAACTGTTGGCTTGTAAAGCAGCATAGCCATAACCAGAGCAGGGAAACATGCAAATCAGTAGAAAAAGACAACCCAGTAAAAACTAACCAAAGGCTTGTACAGAAATTTCAGAAAAGAGGTTCAGTGAGCATATGGAAAGTAGCAAACTTGTCAGTTGTCAGGGAAATCACTTGCTCTGATCCCCTAAATTGCCCTCTGACTTCCACTCACGCTGTGCCACCTGTCCCCAATAAATGCTGGGGTTTATTGTTTTAAAAACAGAAAGCTGGGGAGTGATGGTGAGGCTGCAGAGCAGCTGGGACTAGTGAGAAGGCAAACTTGTCTTTCCTAATGCTGCCCATAGTCCCAAAATCCAAACACTCATCCAGCAGAGGAATCTATTAGAATGCTCACACTAGTTCTGTTCATAGGAGCCACAAACTGAGAAAACACAAATGTTCAAGACTAGAACTAGACAGGGGAGAAAGCAGGAAAGGAAAGGAAAATCTATAATCTGAAGCCTGAGTATGGAAAGTCCCTGTGGCTGTGTTGTGACTTTGTTTTCTTCTTTACTGTTTTAAGGTTAAAAGTTCTAGGATAAATTGTTTGAGCTTGTTCAGAGGATGGGGGTTGGCAGGCAGGAATTTTTTTTCTAGTACAGATGAAGCAGGATCAAAGATATTAAATGACCTGCCAAGTCACAGCTTAGTCAGTGGTAGAGCCACAAACAACAGACTACATCACTGCACCCAGCTCTGTGGAGTTCGGTTCGGCCTCCTTGTTGGACTGGAAAAGCATGAGAATCTTAGGTTTCCACCTAGTCTAGGGAATGAGATTCTCTAGCGCCCTGTTGCCTCACAGCAGTTGTTCAAAACCTGAGTCTGCCCACACTACAGGTGCAGGCAAGGGCCGGTACGTGCATGTGTGCTAGGACCTCACAAGCGCTAACGGAGTGCTCTGCCACTGAGCCTCCCCACCCATTTCTCTGTGCAAAAATCACCTCTGCTCTGGGTCCCTGTCTGTTTGTCTCCAGGACGTATCTTTTGCTTTGCCTAAATTGTCCCTGCATGTCTGATTTAGGTGAGCTAGGTGTTATAAACCAAAAGAAATTGCCCCAGTGGGTCAAAAGAAGTTAAGAACAAGTCAGCCCGTGGCATTTCAACATTCCCGCCACCTGAGTGTCAGCTCTGGAAGGATGGGGGTGTTGTGTTTTCCCGTTGCACAGCAGTGCCACGCATATAGTATTATCATCGATTAATCAGTAAGGGTTTGAGGAAGAGGAAACGTGATCCTTTCCCCGAGCTCTGAAGTCCACACCCGGGGCCAAGGAGGGGCGCCTTCCCTGCCGAGGCTCGGTAGGGTGGGGCTCGCCTTTCCCCACTCACCAGCCTCGCCCCTCCGGCGCACGTTAATGAGATTAGCAATTAAAAGGCGGGCAAGCGGTGGTGGCCAGAGGCCAGGCCCTGACAGAGGGCGAGCAGCCGGACATGGAGAAAGCACGGCCTCAGTGGGGCAACCCCCTGCAGTTCTTACTCGCCTGCGTCTCCTACGCCGTGGGCCTGGGCAATGTGTGGCGCTTCCCCTACCTGTGCCAGATGTACGGCGGAGGTGAGTGCGGACGCGCGGGTAGCGGAAGGTGCCTGGCAGCAGAGTGGCGGCGACGCTCTGTCCCGAGCGCCCCAGCTCAGGAAAGTGCGTGGTCTCACGCGCTGCAAGACGAGTGGTCCTTACGACAGTCCAGAACGGCAAGGCACGGGCTTTTCCTATGATTCTGCCTGGCGGTTCTGAGCCGGAGCTGTGGCTCCAGCAGGCGCTGGGAAGCGGCGAGGAGCCTGCGTCCCTTGGGAGGACAGGTGCGTCACCCACAGAGGTACAAAAGTAAGCAGTGCATTGCTTAACAGAACTTGCCATGCAACTTGCAGATCCAAAATTTAAGTCTCTGACCACAAGTTGGAACACAAGTCAAAAGGATCTTGAGCTATTTCTTGAAATTTTCTTAATAAAAAAAGATCGGTTTGTAGCTGTGAAGACTTGGTTTGGGCTTGGAATCACAGAAGGAAAAAAAAATTCTGGAGAATTTGTTTCTTGGTTCTGCTGTTGTTTTTATAAATGTTTCCTCTGACCCAGAGGGGAAGCTAGGGTGGGACAGAGCACCTCACTCTGCACTCACTTAACGGTGCCAAGAGCTGGGAACTCCTGGGACTCCTTCCGAAGTCCAACCACCCTTCTGGAGGCTGTATGGCATGAAAGAAGTAAGCCTTGGCATTAAAAAAAAAATCCCTTTTCAATTCCACTTTCTAAAACCTCATCTAAAGGAAAAATCAGTATGCCAACAGAGACAGAAAATAGTATGTTCAACATCTCTTAATAAGATCCAAATGTTAGAAACTTTCTAAGTCTTCAAAAAGGGGATTGGTTCAATAAATTGTAGAGCACCCACTTACTGGTGTGCTTGACAGCCATAAAGGTAAGGTTTCAATAAGATTTTAGCTTACTGTTTTTGTCCTATGATAAATGAAAGAAGTCAGATTCAAAACTGTGCAACATTTTTAAGCAGCTGTGCTTAAAACCGTACAGAGAAAAGAGAAGAAAAATATTTTAAAAAGTGTTAACAATAGTTCTCTTTGTGGCTCTTGTTTACCTAATAGTGTGTGTGTGTGTGTGTGTGTGTGTGTGTGTGTGTGTGTGTGTACATGTACATGGGGGAAGAGAGAGCGCTCTACTCAGCACTTTTTTCTCACCACCAAGACCGTGAAAGACATTAAATTAGTGTATTACAAAATTTAACCTGTTTAAGAAAATCCAACCCTCCCTCCTCCAGTCACTCCAGCCAGATCAAAATCAACTCAACCAAAGGTTAATTTATAGCTTTAAAGAAAAAACAATGCATTCTGAACTCTCTGGCTCCTTTATTTTAATTTGAAGTGTTCAAGTGCTCTATGTGGAGAGGACATGTGCCATCACATACTTCTAACACTTCATAACTGGCTTTGGAAATAATTATTTGTTAGAGGCAGATTGTCACATCTTTGTGTGCTTGCTATACCTGCCTTCGTACCTTTACCCTGGGTTCACAGTTCCCAACCACCAGGCCAGGTAAACCACACTGTCACATAACTGCTTAATCCCTGTTTATAGAGGCACCATCACCTGAACAGCCTTCAAGTGGCACAAGTGAGGTTAAGTGGTTTTGAAGTTGAATATGCATGGAGAGACCTTCAAGATACTAGAAGAAGCCGCCGAAGGGAATCCTGGGCCTGGTACAGTTGCTTAGCTGGGAAGACAGGTGGCTAGGGGCTGGGACTGAGGGTGGAGTAGATGAATGGATTAGTGTGGAGCAAGTGAGAGGGGGTAGTTGCAGGTTAGACAAATAGCAAATGTGTCCAGAACAAAATCTAAACTGTTTTTCCTGGCACAGTAGACATTTGACCATTTCTTGGCTGATATTTCCACTTCGTTCTATGCAATTCATCTTTGGCCCAGTCCCTAAGCTCCTCCATGCCTCAACTAGCCACAAGTTCACGTCCAGCTACCCACTAGGTGGCTCCTCTCTGCCTTGTGCTGCTATTTGCTTGGAGAGCTTCCGTGTGCCTCTCCCCTGCTGCTCTGACTCTCTCTCTCTCTCTCTCTCTCTCTCTCTCTCTCTCATTTTTGTTTTTCAAGCCAGGGTTTCCATGTGTGTAGGCATGGCTTTCTAGACCAGGCTGGCCTCAAACTCACAGAGATCCACCTGCCTCTGCCTCCCAAGTCCTGGGATTACAGGGGTGTGCCACCGTGCTGGCCTTTCTGACTTTCTTTACCTGTGAAGTCAAATGAGCACTTGGTCACAAACACTGGGAGCTTTAGAATTTTTCTCTTACCCTGCTCACCCTGTCCCCCAGTGCAGTGAAGCCAGAGAAAGTGCTCCATGAAACTTAATGAATGAATAAGCAAGACCTGCAATAAAGAGCCTTTATTTCAAGCTGAGAAGATAGCTTAGTCGATAAAGCACTTGCTGTGCAACCCTCAGGATCAAAGTTTGGATCCTCAGAACCCAGGTAAACATCTTGCAGATAAGAGTCTGTACTCAGGAAGCAAAGACAAGGTCCTTAGAGTCAGCTGGGTAGCTAGACTAGCTAGACTAGCCTATCACCAAACTCTGAGTTCAAGTAAGAGACCTTATCTCAGTTAATAAAGTGGAGACCGAAGAAGGAAAACATCCACCATCAACTTCAGACTCGCACTAATGAACACGCACACACACAGAGTCCTCAATGGGGGATGCTGGTAGCATCCCACCTCACTTTGGATCTATAGTAGTCGACTGCCAACAAGTTATTAACATTATCCCCAAACCAAATGGTTTCAACGCAGTCTTGGCTTCCATGGTAAGGATGGACTCCAGAGAAGTGCTTCTAACCTGTGGGTCGCAGGTTTTTAACAAACCTCTATCTCCCAAGGTATTTATGTTATGATTTGTATCAATATCAAAATTACAGTATGAAGTAGCAACAAAGTAATTGTTGTGGTTGGGGGTCCCCACAACATGAGGAACTATATGAAAGTTGAGAACCACTGCTCTAGAACCTAGAGACACAGATATAATCGCAGCAGTCAACAACAAGCTTGTCTATAAACTGCCAAAATACCTCCCAGAATCAAACAGTTTAGAATCCTTTGTAAGGAATTCTGTTGTGACGGTTCCCTTCAGGCAGCCCTAAACAAAGAATGTTAATTCTGAGGATTATGTCCCAGGTGTCACTTTACTCTGCACAACTCTACCTGCCACCCCAACCCCTGCACCAAAGACCAAAAAAAAAAAAAAAAAAAAAAAAGGATGATAAAGAAACTTGAAAAAATCCCATTTTCAAAAAAGTCAGCAGACCAAAGTCTAAGGTGTTAATTCCTTCTGAAATGCAAATATACTAAATACCAATATTCAAAAACATATACCTAACAGCAGCTTATATGAATGTGTATGTGTGTTCAAATGCATGTAAAATGCATGCAAGAGAACAATTGTGTGGCTAGAGAAAGGAATATGGGTTCCCCTCTTAATTATTCTCTAGATGATATTTTTTTTTAAAAAGGGGGAAAATCAGAGCCCATCTGACTCTTTAGAGGGTCAATGTCACTCTCAAAGTTAATGTTCCATCCATCTTCAAGCCCTCATTTCTGTCCAGAACAGGAAGTGAAGTGTTTTAGCCCCCTTAATTCTGCTAACCCGAATTACTCAAAATGTTACATGGATTTCCCCTCAGAGACCCAAAATCTGACATTTTATAAACAAGCCTGAGACTGATACTGCCAGTCTGAGACCATACATTGGAAGAAAGGTCAGGGTCGTTCAAATGCCCCCATTATATCTGGGGTAGGGACTTGGCCTACCATGCTGGGTCCTAAGTCATAGCATTTGCTTTCCATCCTGGTATAAACATCCCCACTGTGGCTGGCTCCAGAATGCCACATAGTCCCCAGGATGCAAGCCTGAAAAGAGATGAAGACTGCTAGCTGTGTGAGCTGCTCTGGGAGGGCCTGTCCACTGGAGTCAGGGATTATGGTAATCATGGCTCAAACCAACATCCAGCCTGGGCATGGTGCACACCAAAGTGTCCAGAAGTGGACAATGTACACTTAGAGTATGTGCATGCACATTCTGGCTGTGTCTTGTACTGTTTCTATAGTTCTCAGTGGAACAGGACCTGGGTGTCAGAGAATGGACATTAAGCCTGTTGCTAGCACATACAATTTCCAAAATGAGCTTCATGTGGTAGGCCCTAAAAGTTGTCTTCTGGGCCATAGAGGACCCCTCAGCTGCCCTTCACCATGTTTCCAGCATCAGTCCTAGTGACAGCCTACTCCACTGGGCTTCTGGCACACGTCTATCAGGCATGCTGTAGAATGTTTTCTACAGATGTTCAGGTCAGTCTTCACAGCACTCCTAGGATTGACCCTGTTTGTTACAGAGGAAAAACATTCCCAGAGAAGCAAAGGTAGCTTCAGGAGAAATAAGTGAGATTCAAACTATCCCTATCTCCAAATGGGACTTTCTCTAGCACTCTGTAGCTTCTGTATAAACACAGAACTTGCTGTTGTTCTTTCAGTCAGGGCTTCAGATGGACATCGGAGGAGCCTGGCCAAGAGCTTGGGTATCTGTGTTCTCCTTTAAGAGTCCCATGTCCCTTTCATTCCAGCTTCTTCTCTATTTCTGTCCTTCTCTGAGTACACACAACAATGTCTGATGTCCTCCTCTACTCTGTACTTAACTTTCTCATCCTTCCCTGCAGACCTCCTCCTCAAATTGAAACATTCCAGGCAGCCCTCCTAGGCTTAGCCCTACTAAGTCATCCCTTCTCTGTGGCGATGGATCTCATGCCACAGTGGAAACTGCCAAAGACCAGCTTCCATATCACAGAGTAAACTGAGGCAGGACACAGATAGGCAGCTAGCTGATCACCCAGCAGACTTTCTCTGAGGGTAAAAAGGTTGATTCTCCAGGCTGGAATGGATTGTTACTGAAGGGGACTTCCACTGATGGTGGCAATCATAGGCCAGAACTGATTGTAAATGGCAGAGGGCCAGAGTTGATGACTCCTGGCATGGGGTGCTACTGATGTTAGCAACTAGAG